GATGTAGATTCTAAACATTTTATAAGAAATATGATACTTTTCCCAGTGATGTAGACTCTAAACATTTCATAAGAAATATGATACTTTTCCCAGTGATGTAGATTCTAAACATTTTATAAGAAATATGATACTTTCCCAGTGATGTAGATTCTAAACATTTTATAAGAAATATGATACTTTTCCCAGTGATGTAGACTCTAAACATTTCATAAGAAATATGATACTTTTCCCAGTGATGTAGACTCTAAACATTTCATAAGAAATATGATACTTTTCCCAGTGATGTAGATTCTAAACATTTCATAAGAAATATGATACTTTCCCAGTGATGTAGATTCTAAACATTTTATAAGAAATATGATACTTTTCCCAGTGATGTAGATTCTAAACAATTTATAAGAAATATGATACTTTTCCCAGTGATGTAGACTCTAAACATTTCATAAGAAATACGATACTTTTCCCAGTGATGTAGACTCTAAACATTTCATCGAAATATGATACTTTTCCCAGTGATGTAGATTCTAAACATTTTATAAGAAATATGATACTTTTCCCAGTGATGTACACTCTAAATATGTTTTATGTATATTCTTTATTATTTGTGATTTTCGTGAGTGAGGGAGTCCAAAATCAAAGAATGCCACACGTGTCATAAACTCTGGTACTCCACTGACTCCCAGGAAGCTTGGCCCCCACGCATCATAAACTCTGGTACTCCACTGACTCCCAGGAAGCTTGGCCCCCACGCATCATAAACTCTGGTACTCCACTTACTCCCAGGAAGCTTGGCCCCAGCGCATCATAAACTCTGGTACTCCACTTACTCCCATGAAGCTTGGCCCCCACGCATCATACACTCTGGTACTCCACTGACTCCCAGGAAGCTTGGCCCCCACGCATCATAAACTCTGGTACTCCACTTACTCCCAGGAAGCTTGGCCCCAGCGCATCATAAACTCTGGTACTCCACTTACTCCCATGAAGCTTGGCCCCCACGCATCATAAACTCTGGTACTCCACTGACTCCCAGGAAGCTTGGCCCCCACGCATCATAAACTCTGGTACTCCACTTACTCCCAGGAAGCTTGGCCCCCGCGCATCATAAACTCTGGTACTCCACTTACTCCCATGAAGCTTGGCCCCCACGCATCATAAACTCTGGTACTCCACTTACTCCCATGAAGCTTGGCCCCCACGCATCATAAACTCTGGTACTCCACTGACTCCCAGGACGCTTGGCCCCCACGCATCATAAACTCTGGCATTCCATTGACTTTCAGGAAGCTTGATCCAACTAGACACGGCTAGTGTTTGTCCTTGACCTTCATTGGAAGATAATCTATATCTTAGACAACGAGTGTCGAACAAGGAGGTACCTAGCACTGGGAGGACTGAAGAGTCCGATAATATTGCTTGAGACAGGAAAGACGGGAGGGGGTATGAATCTTAGAAAATTGGCGAAGAAACTGTGAAGAAAAATATTTTTAATTACAAAATATTGCAATGTATCAAAGCCAGAATTCAATTTATGTCACTGTGAGATTCAGTAGAGGAGCTAGGTTTAGTGGCACCTGGGGAGTGCCGTGAATTTTTGCAACCTCCGGGTGCGAATGGCGGCGCTGCGTGTCCGGGTCCATTTTGACTAAATGCGATCCGGATGTCATTTGTGGTAGTTTATTTTAATTAAACTGAAGAAGTAAGTTTACAGCCATATAGTCCATTTAATTATCTTTCGTTTGATACCTCATACCCAACAATAATATTTTAACTAGTTTTTTTTAATCCCAACCTCTCACTTCTGGTACCCGGGTGCGGTGAGTCGCTGCCAGAATCTTATTTCCAACTGCAACATGTGACACATTAGAACACCATGTTCCAGATTAGCCCCTGGTGAGTGTTATTCTTCCAGTGCGTTTTTGTGAGCAGACTACCTCACCTCTCCACTTCCTACTGGGAAGTGAAGACTGGAGACGCCACTTTGTTAACTTTGCCAAGTGCTCTCCCGTTTGCTTGGCTGAATGATGATCGCATCCGCAAGGACGGCAATTCAGTTGTTTTTGTTTCAGGGCGGAGCAAAACCAAAACTTGACCCACTTGTTGAGTTGTTCATTACTGGAGTACCACAGTACCTAACAATTTAAATAAGACTTGCCCAATTATGATTTATGTTTTCTATTGTTAATTTTAAATGATCGAATATTTCTTCCCCCCCCNAAACCCTCCTGCCCTACCCAAAAGACATCAAAGCGTGTCTCTCCCCCCCCCAACCAAACCCTGTCCCCCCAAAAAAAAACTTATTGGCCTAAAGTCTCTTCTTGTCCGCTAGTGAAATCTATTTAAAATGTTAATGATAAGCAACGCTTTCAAAGAAAAAATTATTCTAGTATATACTCCTATTTTTTTTTTTTAAACAATCGAATCCTGCAGAAGTCTTCTGTTGTATTGTCTATTTAAAATAATAATATTATAAAATAGGCGAATCTTTACCAGGATTATTTGAGATTCGATACTCATTTAAACCAGGTTCCTCATGAATGAATTAAATATGGCGTCACTCTGATGTAAACAACACGAACTCTACTGCTGATTTAGCATGAATGCTTTCTCATTTATTTCACCCGTTTTATTTTAAAAGTCCTCAACACATTGGATTAAAATGTTCCCATCTTCTGGCTATTTCCGTGGTGTAAATTGTCCATTCTTTATTAGTGGTCTTTGTGAAAGACCCTACTGTCATTTTCGTCATTCTTCTAGAATTGTGGAAGAAAGACCTATTGTTGCAAATTCAAAATCAGGTTAGAAACTCAAGTGCTAACCAAACCAGCCTTTAGAGGCCATCCATAAATGACGTCAATCAAAATTTTCCTATTTTGACTCCCCCACCCCTCATCATCACAAAAAGTTAGACCCTACTGGCTACTCTACCCTCAAATATAACTTCACCAACTTCACAAATCTTTGGATCCCCCATAAAAATTTTTTTTAAAGATCCCTCTGTCTACTTACTGTACTTTACAAAACTTTTAACCCCCTTTTTCATGTATATCATCAAATTACTGCATCTGTGTCAGAAACATTTCCAGAGAAAAATGGTTTGGTAAATGTGCAGTTAACGACATTGGTTTTGCCTAGCGTTTTCTCACCCTAAGCGTACTGCAGCGTAGTAATTAGTAATATCACTTTGGGGAATCCCAACACTGTACACAGGACTTAAGGTAACTGGACCAATGGTTGTATCTGAACGATGAGAATGATAACTTTCCCGTTCTTCACTGAGCATCATTCACATCAAAAGCATAATCTGATGATCCATACAGTTAAAATAAAATAAATTAAATTTTCCCTTCCGTTTTTATAAAAATTCAACTTACAAGGTTCGAAAGAAATGAAAAGAGAAACTCATCCTTGCTGATACCCCAAGATGAACACTGGAAAAAGATGCCCACATGGTTGAAAGTGCTATTTTTTATATTGCTTGAAAACAAAGTACCTGTATGCAATCCATTATTATGTCGCAATTTAATGGGACATTTCAACATAATGTCAATGAAAAAAATAAGATAGAAAATAGTTTCTGGGGAAGAGAGACCCTCCATGAACTATAGACCGTGGAAGACATCACCATCCCTGCCGCCAACTGAATTTTAGCCTGTGGTTCTTAACCATGGGTGAAATGCCCCCTGATGTATGAAAGACCCAGAAAATTATATTTACTACCATTGCTAGTTGTTGCTGCCTTTTCAAAAAATGCTTTAGCAGTACCTAGTAAATGTTTTTCTGGTGAATTTTGTTTACACATTACCTGTATTTGAAAAATGAGAGCGGATGCAGAGCAAAAAAAAAATATTAAAAATATCTGCCCTCGAACATTTACTAAGATCGCACCAACCCCAACTGCCAACCTTTTTTTTCCCCACTTCTCATTGTAGCCCTAAGTCTCTCACATTTTGAAATAAATTCTTCTCCCTTGTGGCAGCCTGTAACTTGATCAGAGCCCATATTTAGGAATTTGAATACCTGTACTGATTCTCTCACTGATCATAGTTTAAAATTAAAATAATTATAATTGTTGTATAAAAGAATAACGTTATAACTGTACAGGTATATAATTTAATGTTATTAAGAGTAATTTATTTAAATAATGTTCCTCTTTTAATGTGACGTCACATTGCTTTTAACCCCCCCCCCCCTTTCCCTAAACGTGTGTCGTCATTTATGAATGGCCCTTTAAGTTAATCAATTTGTGTCGTAAGTATTAGATTACAGCAATAATACAAAAATCACAATAAAAATTATATAAATCTAAAAGATAATTTTCGTAATAAAAGCTAAAACTACAAACAGAAATATGTGAACTGAGAAGTGGGTGATACAAAAGTGACAACACACTCTTTAAAAATAAAAATAATAATATAATTTTATACCAGTATCAGTTATGATTTCATTTCATCAGACTCACCATAGTAATGACCATTAAGCTATTTTATTATTGAGATTACAGTTCAACAGTAGGCTGAACAATGAATGAAATTTTTATTTTATCTTGATTGGGTAGAGATACTGACTTATGAAATGATGTGTCCTCTCCCATAGTTAAGAATAGAGAAAATGTGGATTCATTAATATTTTTCACATTGCTTTTAACCCCCAGGCAACACTACGGGGGATCAGGCCTATGAATAATAAAACAGTATTAAAAATCTTAGTTTTAAGACATAGTCTTTCCACAATTAAATTAAAGCCAAATGAATTGAAAATAAATGTTACATTTTAACTGTGGGCAAGGCCACATTAAAGACATAAGTTAAAAAATTTTAATGATTCCTCCGACATGATTCAAAACCATATTTAAACTTTAGAAGAAATAAAATACTGGTAATGTTTGTTTGAAAATACATGAATAAACTTAGACAAATGGGAAACTGTATCCATTAGATTTCACACTTGTCTTAACAAATGACACACATAATTATGATTTCATTTAAAATGTTGTTTCAGAGAATTCTCCCAGCTATTCAACATCAGGGATTAGATCCTATCAGCCAGGAACACCTTACAGCTCTGGTCCTTATGCTCAGTTCAGCACTTATGGGCAGGCAGATGTGGCTCATTACAACACAGCTGCACCTAGTGAGCCAACTGGACCGGTGGAAGAATACACGACAGTGGGGGATCAAAATTTATTTTGTTCCATCCCTAATTTTACTGGTACGGATAAGACCTTGCCAGAGTCAAATGAAGTACCCATTGGACGGGAGGCTTTGCCGAAGATTTCAGGACTTCCACAAAAAAATAAACAAAAACTTCCATCTTATGTGCCAACACCCAAGTCAAGTGTGCATCTGGTAACCAACGGCGACGTGCCAACTTACAGACCCACACCAAAACATGTGGCGCAAAGAAAAAAAAGTCATACTATTGAATATGATCCTGTAAAAAACTTTGCCTTTGTTGAAAAACCAGTCTCGTGTGATAATGAAAGCAGTGGGGATGAAAAGGAGGCAACAAACGGAAGATCTAATGGTGTTCAAACTGCCCAAAATGAGAACCTTGAAGCTAGATTTAGCGATGATGATGTTACAGTAGAAATTGATAAGTGTAAAAAAAACTGGGCAGATGAAGATTTGACAGATTCTGATGAGGATTATAATACAGAGAGCACACCAGCTGATCTTCAGGACAAGTTATCTGCCTTGCTCACACCATCATCCCAAATCACAAGCAAACTGGCAACCTTAACTAGTGAAGTAGGCTCCAAGTCAGTCAATGGCAAAACAGTTCCATCTACAGAGTGTCAAAGAAATTCAAACAAGAGATCCTCCAGTGGGAAAAAGTCATCGAAACCTCAAGCTAGTCCTGACAGCACAAGTAATAATATTGAATGTCAACCTCAGACATCATCTGAACATCATTCATCCAAAACACAATCTTCGAAGTCAAGCTCAAATTCAAAAACTAAAATTTTGTCTAACTCATCGGGTAAATCTCATTCATCAGCCAGATCAGAATCACAAAAATCTGATAAATCTGAATCCACAAGATCAGACCGCAGTAAGAGATCCTTATCAACTGATAAGAAAATCTCATCTTCGTCCAGTCATAAAATCCATTCATCGAAAGACAGTTGTAACAAATCAAGGTCATCTGAAAAATCGAATGGAAATTCTTCGGCTGGATCTTCCTCGTCTAAAACGATGCAGTCATCTCATAAATTATCCTCATCTAAAACAGACCATGTATCTCATAAATTATCCTCATCTAAAACAGACCATGTATCTCATAAATTATCCTCATCTAAAACAGACCATGTATCTCATAAATTATCCTCATCTAAAACAGACCATGTATCTAATAAAATAGCTTCATCTAATTCAGAGCATTCATCCTGTAAATTACCTTTGTCATCTAAATCAGAGAATTCTTCTAAGAAATCCCCCTCTTCTAAAGCAGAAATTTCATCACATAAAACACCATCATCAAAAATTTCCAAAGGTAAAGAGGATGATTTTAAAAGTTATCCTAAAAAAATTAAATCGGAAAAGAGGGATAGTATGAATGATGTGCCCGAACTTAACCTCAAGACGGAGCGGCGAACAAGCTCTTCGTCTGTTGACCAAAATAAGAAACATGATGTTCCTCACATCAATGTCGATTCTAAACATTTAAAGAGACATTCAGATGTCAATGTGAAAAAGGAACACCATGATCGATCTCACGTCATAGCTAAAACAGGGCAAGTTGAGCGGAGAAATTCTAAGTGCAAGTTAGTGACCGAGAGAAGAATCAGTGATGTCACAACAAGTTTGTTTGGAGATGAAAGCGAGGACTCGGATGTTCAGATTATAGAACCCCCACCGCAGCCTGTGGCTCCAGTATATGAACTCAGTGAATCGGACCATGACGACGACGACGAGGCTGTCATGTCAACAGACGATGTGAGCCTGTTAACAGATTCAGACTCGTTTGAAGAGTGCCTGAGAATATTTCAAGAGAGCGAATTGCAGCGGGCAAGAAAATCTTCCAGTGTTTCAATGCCCGCTGAACAAAGCAAAAACCATCTAGTAAGTGAACACAGTAGTAAGTAAACACAGTAGTAAATGAACACAGTAGTAAGTGAACACTAATGTGAGTTTTAAAAGAGATTAAATATTATTTTTAAAAATAATAGGGAAAATTCAGTAGAAGAACAGTTTTTCAAGTTGTACAATTACCATAAAAATGATTTGAAATTGTTATGATATTCTATTATGAAAAGCTAACATGTCTAAGGTGAACATCAGTTTTGATTTAGAATATTTATACGGGAGAGAATATACTTATTACTTTGTTCTTATTTTTACAAAGAAATTTTATTTTTTTTACTGCATCTATAGTTGAATTATTAGAGAGTTCTACTTCAACTCTTGCCATTTAATAATTTCTCAACACAGTAAACTGGAAGGACATCATTCTTATACTGAATTCAATCTAATGGAAGAATATTTTTTGCTTGAACTTATTTGCAGATCTGTTTATGTTTATGATTATAAGCATTTAATCATCTCTTAGTATATTTAACAAACTTTGCTGTGTAATGACCAAACATAATGGTCTAGTTCAATGTTTTAGTAGTAATGAACATAAAAGCACCATATTGTCTGAATCAGATCAGATGAAACAGGAGATCAAAATATCTTGGACCCTAAGTTATTATTATATCACAAACATCAACTAAAGCCGTGCTTTTCAAAGCAGCGGATACCTCTAGGTAGAGTGAAAAAGGGGGGAGGGGGGGGCACAGAAAGATCAGTAGATTTTCAAGGGACTCTTAGATGACCATGGTGAGTGCTGGTGAATTTCAGGAATAATTATTTTGATCATGCTTAAATATTTTTTTTTTAAATATACTACTAAATGTCACCTTGAATGAGATTCATGTATAGAAATTTATATTTATATTTTTTTTATAGAAATGAACTTTAGAGAAATTACCTTTGATCAAAAGATTGTACGGACTGCTATTAACATTACAAATAGTGCATGACCAGGTGGGAAAACGTTTTATATTGCTTGCGAGAGATGAACTTAGTTGGCTCTGGTTAGTCTCATTCATTGCATCTGCTTATGTCAACATCGAGATGAACTTAGTTGGCTCGTGTTTGTCTCATTCATTGCATCTGCTTATGTCTTATGTCAACATCGACTGTGCAGTGGATTGCGTTGCACTCAAAGTCAAGAGATTAAAATGACCCCTATAAAGCTATGTGTCAGTTACAAAGTGACAATATAGATTATATTATAATTTGAGAAGATGGAACAAATAATTTGTTCCATATGAAATTTAAAGCATTTACTGTTGGTTTTGAGTTTATATTTGGTGAAATAGAGTTACCCTTCCCTCAAAAGACCCCATTTTTCATTGTTATTTCAAGTTTTCAAGCTCAATTTTCTGACCATAGTGAAGTTCTCAAGACAATATTGGTCTGACTATAGTGGAGTTCTCAAGACAATATTGGTCTGACTATAGTGGAGTTCTCAAGACAATATTGGTCTGACTATAGTGGAGTTCTCAAGACAATATTGGTCTGACTATAGTGGAGTTCTCAAGACAATATTGGATTTTGGATATCAAACATTGCTCAGTGTCAAGGACAAAGTCTATAGATCTCCAGATATGGTCATTTAAGAATCCTGCAAAAGTGTCTTTGAAGCAAATAATGAAAACAAAACAAATCAGTATCATATCAACAAGATTGTCCTCTGAATTTGAAAATAATTGCGCAGTGAAGAAGTTAGAAAACTCTTGCTTAATAATTATCCTTTAAAATGCAGCTGTAACACTGAATGAGTTTCAGCAGATTTTTATTGAATTAATTCAAGTAAAAGCCTCATCCGTGTTCTGCAATGTTCAAATTTGTATTTCTATTTGACTGCGATAGTATCTTCCTTTTGATGGTCGTGCCGAAATGATACTCTTAATAATGAGGTGAGACAGATTGCCACGGCTGAGTTTATAGCTCCATGGGGGTGGTGGGTAGATAATGTTTAAGAACCACTGAACTGAAAGAAACAGCTTGCCTTTAAAAAATTAGGTCAGAGTGTAACTATTTTTGCAGGATTAGAAAGTTAATATAAGACAGGGTTAGAGAGTAAATATTAAGACAGGGTCAGATGGTAAATATTAAGACATGGTGAGAGAGTAAATATAAGACAGGGTTAGTGAGTGAATATTAAGAGAGGGTTTAACAAAGAAAAGTTTTAGAATTCTTATAGAATTTGTTTTCATTTCATTCAACAGAAAAAGTATAATGACTGTATAAATTGTATCCTTGTTTAGCATGAGAGAAGGGCCCAAGAAGAACCTGATCACCTGTTGTCGTCTGTGGGCAAAAAAAGAAAGGCTCATAAAGATGCTGATAAGGTGAATCTATTTTAGCATTATTGTAAATGTACAGCAAATGAATTAAATAAGCTTTGATGAATGGGCAGATGTTAATTGCAATAGTCATTTTCTCATGTAGCTGAAAAGACTCCTCATGTGAACTTAATCAAATAAAAATACTTCATTTGTGAATTGAAATTTACTACACAGAGGTAGTATTTTTTTTATTACATAATTTTATTTTTAAAGCTAAATTTTTTTGTGTCCATAGTTGAGACGACCAAAATCAACAACATCTGTATCACGAGTCAAACCTAGCCCTGCCGAAGTTATGCACAATCGCATTGTAGAAATGCAGAAAAGAGCTTTGCTGCGAGCGGCCAAGAGGGAAGGGAGAGAATCAGAACTAGTAAATAACCTAGTTTTAAAATCTGTTTCATCATTTAATAATATTAAAAGAAAGGTGTGGGGGGTCAGACTGTAAAGAAGTTAGTACTACATGTTTAAATAAATGTCCAACGTTGATGTAAAATAAAGCAAAAGTCAAATTGGGGGTGGGGGGAGAGAGAGAAAACGATCAGTGAATCAAGTTTTTCTGCTTCATTTCTATTTGATATTTGACTTGAGTCTGCTCTGAAGGCTTCTTAGCTCTTCCATCTGCAACATAAAATAAAACTATTTGAGTAAATGAAAATAATTCTTGCTCTGTGGTCTATAATTTAAAATAAATCTGAAAAGACATTCCAAATTTTATTCCATAGCCTCAAACTTTGTCAGGTGCTGACTCAAAATCTACACTGACCTCCTCTGCTGAATTTGTCATGACCTCAACCAAGAAAAGGGAAGCTCACACACCTGCACCTAAGACACCCACGACGTCATCAGCTGGGGGTGCCACGATGTCATCAGCCGGGGGTGCCACCTTGACTCCGAGCACTTTCTACTCAAAAAATAAGAACAATGTTAAACCACTTGAGACTTCTAGTGCTAAAATGGTTACGATTGCTTCAACTGCTTCAAAAACAGAAAAACGTAAAGCGCATGAACCAACTGTGGTGAGATTATACCGGTATCTAGTAGAAGTATACAACTATAAATAATTTACCTAGGGTCAATGGAATATTCTGATTACTAAACCGGATAAGCCCAGATCTTCCACTTCAGCTTACGTTTCAGGGGGGAGCATGCAGGGGGGAGGTAATCAGGGTTAGATTTGGACAGCATATTCAAGGCGAGTTATTAATGATAGATAATAGAATTTTTAGATTGAATGTCACCATTTCTATCTGTGGGACATTTCTATTTGTGGGACATGATTAAAAGATGAAACTTTGTGAGTTCAAATGGTTACGATTTCTTCAACTGCTTCAAAAACAGAAAAACGTAAAGCGCATGAACCAACTGTGGTGAGATTATACCGGTATCTAGTAGGAGTATACAACTATAAATAACTTACCTAGGGGCAATGGAATATTCTGATTACTAAACCGGAAAGTAATTTCTCAGTTTAAATCAGCGGTTCTCAACCTGTGGGTCGCGACCCCTTTATGGGTCGCGGGACCCTTTTCCAGGGGTCGTCAAGACCATCTGAAAACATATATCCTTACAGCTATGAAGTAGCAACGAAAATAATTGTGTGGCTGGGGGGTTGCCACGACACGAGAAACTGTATTAAGGGGTCGCGGCACGAGAAATGTTGAGAACCACTGGTTTAAATGAACACATACGAACTCTTCCTACTGTATGCCAATAAACTGACATTTTAAAACTGACTCTAGGAAGTGCCTACGAAATCATTGGCTTAGTTTATAAAGTTGTAATTTACATTTATTTTCTTAAACTTCATGTTTTGTAATACAACAAAACATCTTCTACTACCCCAGAAATAAATTTATGCCTTGTTGATGTTGGGTTTGAATCATTGATTGGATGTATGCTTATGAATGGGATTTTTATATAAGTATCTTTATAGGGAAGGGAGATAAATTTGTTTACCAAGTGTAACTACAAAAGATTTGTTAATATTTTAATTTTTATTTTCTTGATTTTTAACTGATATCAAAATGAATGCCCTAAATTATAGTTTGTTTTCTGACATTTGGATTAGTGGGCTAGAATGTCAATCAGTTCTATCAACAAACAGTTAAGATTATACATCTCCTAAGGATTAGTGATAGATTTGTACATTTTCAGTTTGACATTAATCCTTACCAGCACTTTAACTTGTTTCTGAAAACCATCTAAAAATAGACAACATTTATTTAGGGAAACATAAAGTTTTTCCACAACTTTATGGCTTTAATTATATTACAATTGAATGAAACGAGTACTTAGTGGATTGTATCAGTAGTTATTAATGAAAATGAGTACCTTATGACATCTCTAAGAATTATGATGATTCTGATATTGGGTATTCCCAATTTCATTTGCCTTCCTCAGAAACTGGAGTGTGTATAATAACTCTGAATTAATCAATAATGATGGCGAATGTGCAAGGAACTTGCTGAGATTGGGTTTTCCCAATTTCTATGTCACTAGATTCTATTTCAGTTTCTATATTCTCAGCAGTTCTTCTGTATAAACTGAAGTGTCAGTTTGAGTTCATGTCAAACTCATGAATTTATGTCAATACCTGATTGATACCTATGTGACTTAATTCTTTGGTCTACCACTGATTAAATCTTTATACCTTCTACCTGTAGACAAATCTGAAGCGACCTCTGTTACCAGCAGAGTTTGGGGGTAAAGTTCCAACCAATGTTCGCCAACGATACCTAAATCTTATGATAGATGAGTTTTTAAAGTTTAATCCAGAGGACACAGCATTTACCAAGGTAAGGTCAACGTTAAGCCAGAGAATGATTTTTTAAAGTTTATTTAAAGAATTGTTGAATTGAATTTTTCAGTTGCTAAACTTGCTTTGAAATATACACAGTAGGGTAAGAATGTAAAATTTTTGTAAAAAGAATATGTTGTTTGTCTTGGATATTTCTTCTCCTTCTATATGTTATATTGTACACATCTCTTTCTGTATGTTATATTGTACATATCTATTTCTATATATTGTTATATTGTACATATAAATCTCTGAGCATTGTTGGTACCTATCCTTAGAATATCAGAGTTTTAGCCAGAGTTCAAATTGAATGAATTAAATTGAAGCCCAATTCGTTTAGTTAACGTCTGTTACTATCAGTCAAGATAAATCATCTTTCTCTTTAATATCTACTTTCTCATAAATTATCTTAAAATATTATTTAAATTTGTTGTTGTTGCCTATTTAACAATATTTCTACTGCTTACTATTTAACTATATTGCTACTGCTAACTATTTAACAATATTGCTACTGCTAACTATTTAACTATTTTGCTACTGCTGACTATTTAACTATATTGCTACTGCTAACTATTTAACTATATTGCTACTGCTAACTATTTAACTATATTGCTGCAACAAACTATTTATCCCTGAGAAAATTAACGGTGGAAGAAATTTATTTCAGGGCCAAGATGAAGAACAAACTGTATATGCCAGGGCTTCCAACAAGAATATTTACCTCAGACTTGCGGTCAACGCGATAAAACGGATCAGGATGGAGGCAAATGAGTCACAGCCATCTTCATCCAAAAAGTTATGCCCGGGCGTGTCCAGTTTATCGTCAATGGCAGCTCTACCATCACATGCGATGCAGTCTCATGCGACGACTCTCGGTGGGTCACTTGCTGCCAGGACAAGCTTTACTTTGAACAGATCTGGTCCTGCCGTTAAACATGGAACCTTTAAAGGTTTGTCCCTGGTCCAGTGCATACATGCTAAAACTGATACACATTGAGTAAACCATTACACTTTATGAGTAAAGCATTACACTTTATGAGTAAACCATTACACTTTATAAGTAAACCATTACACTTTATGAGTAAACCATTACACTTTATGAGTAAACCATTATACTTTATGAGTAAACCATTACACTATATTACACATTGAGTAAACCATTACACTTTATGAATAAACCATTACACTTTATGAGTAAACCATTACACTTTATGAGTAAAGCATTACACTATATTACACATTGAGTAAACCATTACACTTTTTTACACATTGAGTAAACCATTACACTTTATGAGTAAACCATTACACTTTATGAGTAAACCATTACACTTTATGAGTAAACCATTACACTTTATTACACATTGAGTAAAGCATTACACTTTATGAGTAAACCATTACACTGTATGAGTAAACCATTACACTTTTTACACATTGAGTAAACCGATTCACTTTATGAGTAAACCATTACAATTTATTACACATTGAGTAAACCATTACACTTTATTACACATTGAGTAAACCATTACACTTTATTACACATTGAGTAAACCATTACACTTTATGAGTAAACCATTACACTTTGTTACACATTGAGTAAACCATTACACTTTATTACACATTGAGTAAACCATTACACTTTATGAGTAAAGCATTACACTTTATTACTCATTGAGTCAACCATTACACTTTATTACACATTGAGTAAACCATTACACTTTATTACACAATGAGTGAAGAATTACACTTTGTTACACACTGAGTAAACAATTACACTTTATTACACATTGAGTCAACCATTACATTTTATTACACATTGAGTAAACCATTATACTTTTTTACACATTGAGTAAACAATTACACTTTATTACACATTGAGTCAACCATTACATTTTATTACACATTGAATAAACCATTATACTTTATTACACTTATAATAAACCATTACACTTTATTGCACATTGAATAAACCATTACAATTTATTACACATTGAGTAAACCATTACTCTTTATTACACATTGAGTAAACCATTATACTTTATTACACTTATAATAAACCATTACACTTTTTTACACATTGAGTAAACCATTACAATTTATTACACATTAAGTAAACCATTACTCTTTATTACACATTGAGTAAACCATTACACTTTATTACACTTATAATAAACCATTACACTTTTTTTACACATTGAGTAAACCATTATAATTTATTAGACATGTAATAAACTATTACACTTTATTACACATCGAGTTAACCATTACACTTTATTACACATTAAATAAACCATTATACTTTATTACACATGTAATAAACCATTAAACTTTATTACACATTGAGTAAACCATTACATTTTATTACACATAGAGTAAACCATTATACTTTATTACACATGTAATAAATCATTACACTTTGTTACACATTGAGTAAACCATTATAATTTATTAGACATGTAATAAACCATTACACTTTATTACACATCGAGTTAACCATTACACTTTATAACACATTGAATAAACCATTATACTTTATTACACATGTAATAAACCATTACACTTTATTACACATTGAGTAAACCATTACACTTTATGAGTAAAGCATTACACTTTATTACTCATTGAGTCAACCATTACACTTTATTACACATTGAGTAAACCATTACACTTTATTACACAATGAGTGAAGAATTACACTTTGTTACACACTGAGTAAACAATTACACTTTATTACACATTGAGTCAACCATTACATTTTATTACACATTGAATAAACCATTATACTTTATTACACTTATAATAAACCATTACACTTTATTGCACATTGAATAAACCATTACAATTTATTACACTTATAATAAACCATTACTCTTTATTACACATTGAGTAAACCATTATACTTTATTACACATTAAGTAAACCATTACAATTTATTACACATTGAGTAAACCATTACTCTTTATTACACATTGAGTAAACCATTATACTTTATTACACTTATAATAAACCATTACACTTTGTTACACATTGAGTAAACCATTACACTTTTTTTCACATTGAATAAACCATTATAATTTATTAGACATGTAATAAACCATTACACTTTATTACACATTGAGTTAACCATTTCACTTTATTACACATTAAATAAACCATTATACTTTATTACACATGTAATAAATCATTACACTTTGTTACACATTGAGTAAACCATTACACTTTATTACACATTGAATAAACCATTACACTTTATAACACATTGAATAAACCATTATACTTTATTACACATGTAATAAACCATTACACTTTTTTTTACACGCTGAGTAAACCATTACACAATAATGTAGTTGAGGTCATAACATCAATGACTTTGTTCCAGTGTATTTTTGAATGACAATTCAGTAACACTACTGTAGGGTCTCTGTTTGTATCTTGTTATTTCCCTTTATTAAGAGCATCAGCTTCGGCAGTGAGTTTTGCTTTTGGCAATAAATCCTTTTTTTTCCTTCTTTTTTTCTTATATTTTTTGAAAATGAGAGGATCCTAGATTAAAAAAAACGTTTTGTTTGGAACATTTTTAAATTATCAGTCTATCACAAAAAAGGACTTACAGTATACTGGTATGCTCATTATTAAGTCTGGTCATTCATATTGTAACACACCAACCCCTACATCCCCCCCCCCTTCCCCCGAGATGCCCGCCTATTTTTAGACAGGATAAGTCTGAAAATTGTGTAATTTGCTAATGAGCAATCCCATAAAAGACTAGCTAAAGTCAGCAAAAAGTTATCAAAGAATACCTAAAATAAGAGGAAGCTTGTGCTAAAAGAAGACAAACAAAAGTTATACCATCTACTCTGGGTATCTTTGGTTTTTTTATATGTTATATGGTAACACAATGACCAATAACAAATTTTCACTAATATAAAAATTTGGTTAAAAATGACATTAAAACTTTATTTAATTTAAAGAAGAAAACAAATCAAATGAATAATTAAGGCAGCGGTTCTCAACCTGTGGGTCGCGACCCTTTTGGGGGTGGCGCGCCTCTTGTAAGACCATCTGAAGACACATATACTCCACAGTTATAAAGTATTAATGAAAATAATTTTGTGATTGGGGGTCGCCACAACATGAGGAAATATATTAAAGGGTCGCGGCATTAGAAAGGTTGAGAACCACTGAATTAAGGTAACTCAAGTGTATTTTTAGCTTCTTTTAACATATTAGAGAGTGTACAGTAGATTAGAACCTCATCATTCTACAATAACAGTTTACTATTCTATGTACCTAGGGAAAATTATAAAAATCTCCTATGCCTGGCTCATTAGCTGATCACTACTTATTCCCCTGAAATAGTTCTAGAAAGAGTCAGAACTAGTAAATATGATACATTAATATTAATGGAAATTTTTATATCAATTTTCTTTAGAAAATTTTCTTTAGTATTTTTTATAAAAAGTTTGAATGGGCCTTATCTTTGTTTTAGGTGCAGAGCTCTATGAAAGATTACGACGGTATATTTTGACCGAACAGCAACTCAGAGACAATGGCTTTCCACGACCATCACCTGATGGGAGCAATAAGGTTATTTTTTATAAAATGGAGACAAAAGATAATTTTTTGAAAGGTGAGGGACATGCCTGACTGTTTAATAGAAAAAATATTTTTTAAACCATTTTCTATATTTATTTGTGAGAATGCTTAAACATTTTATAAATTGCAGGTGATTTTTATTTATGTTTTGCATTTAATATTTTCATGGGGATGCTGTAGAGCATTGGTTCCCAATCTGTGTACCCCTAGGTGTACGAGGTAAACGCTTCGGGTAGGCAAAAAATTTATAGATGAATGCAAAAAGAAATTGCCAAAAAAACTTCAATTACACTCCTTCCTATATGAGAATATGAGCAGCTAAATTTAAACAACCAGTATGTTAATAACATATGTTATCCAAAAAAATATTTTTAGAATTAAATTAATAATGAGAATATTGTATTTTTGTATTCATCCGATGTTGATAGAGTGTATTTTTGTATTAATTCGATGTTGATAGAGTATTTTTATTGATATTTTACAGGGTTATTTTTAAACCAAATATTATATTGCAATATTTATTTCTCAGACTGGTTTTGCTACATTATTATTATTATTAGTGGTGATTTTATATAGCGTGATACCCCAACCGAGGGCTGGGCTCACCACGCTGTACATATAATTTAACAAACATAATCATGAACTTGAAAATTAACATACCTTAATTAAATAAAACCAAACAAATGTATATTCACTCCACACATTCAAGAACTATTTACATGTCTAGCCATGGACGGCTAGTCAGCAGCATCGTTTATCGTTCAGAGGGGGGAATCAGTCAGGATAGTGTAACTAAAAGAAAAAAAAATTAAACTAGTAAAAAATAAATAAATGCCAATAAATTTCATTAGCTTTATTTGATCATTAGCAACATATTTCTTAATACTTTTTAGGGATAAGTGGTGTAAGGGAAAGTGTGGGTGTGGAGTGGGCTTCTGGTTAGTGAAGTCTATTCAGGTGTACAAGAGAAAAACAGGGCTGGGAACTGCTGCTATAGAGTAGATTAATGATAACTCAAACCATTTGTGTCAATAAAACAATTTAGGTTCAGCTTTAATAATGATTATACAGAATACAGTATCTAGGTTATTGGCCACCAGGAAGTCTCTCATCCTCAGGCCACCAGAACCTATTGCAGCTGCTGTCACTTCTCACCAGATATTTTAGCAAGCTGTCACATCGCCTAAGGTCTATGATAAAGTCACTTTGCAATTTTTCTCCCATGCCAAGTTGGCTGTTGATTTCTGCACAGCTTTATTTTTTTTTGTTACCTTTGGTTTTGTCCATACCCAGCCAGGGTGGCCACATGGCATGGCAGCATTACCATACTTCCATAGCTGCAAATAACACCTGGTTTATTTCTTCAAGTATTTGGTCGTCGTGGTGCAACCTTTGGACCTTACGTCAGATGTGGTGGCACTATTGCACCACAGGGCTCAATAGACATTTTTTTAAATGAGCGATATTAAAAAGAAATTATGATTTTAGACAGATCTATTTTGTTCCTTTTCAGTTAAATAAATATTTTCTTAAAACTTTATATGTTAATATTGTGAAGAAGGTTGTTGGTATTTTCATATTGTTATAATCACCCGAGTGAACATAACTTTCAGATAATGAAAGAACTTGCAGACGTTGTGGTAAAAGATATTTTGTCACCAAAGATGGTAGCCCAGCAATGCAAGACAAATGTATATATCACCACGGCCGGGCTTTCCAAAAGAAAGGTAACCGCTCATGGCAACAGGGAAAATAGGAAAACATTTGCCCGATGATGATTTAATGTTAATTTGTTATTTTACATCATTTTGGTTAGAGGATATTTCAAACTTCATGTTTCCATGTATACCAGCATTTAGAAATCTAATTCCCTTAATAATATGACACCAGAGAAGCCAGTTTTTGTTATTGAAAAGTTAAAGTTGACAGTATGTGAACATTTCATTAAAAACATTGTGCACTTATCTACATCGATGATGGACCAAGAAATGTTTTCTCATTGACTCTCCATAAATTGCAGCAATTTGTAAGAGCTTTTTTCAAAAAAAAAAAAAAAAAAAAAAAAAAAAAAAAAAAAAAAAAAAAAAAAAAAAAAAAAAAATAGAAAACTTGAGGAAGGCTTTTGATACTTGTCAATATTAGTCTCTTGTTTTAGGAGTCATCATTTGAGTGCATGTGCACTATTAGATCTGGACATTTTGTAAGCATGTCAAAAGTTTTTGTTCATTGTAATATTTGTAGATGTAAAGATCACATCCTACATAGTGTAACGCATAAAACAAATTTGATAACTTTTAGCATTGGGAGAAAGACCTGAAAGTTTAAAATCTAATCCAATATTAGTCTGAAATTTCTGGCAACCCCCTTTTTTTTTACACGTTCAATACAAGAAATTGTTTCCCAGCATGTTTCAAAATGGGATGTAAAATATGTCCACAGTTTAAATTTAATCTGAAATCGTAAATATTGTTTTAAGTCCCGGTTCTGTGCTCCACAGTGGCAGGGTTCGTTGACTCACGTTATTCTTGTTGTAATGAGAGACAAGATAACAAGGGATGCCAGGTGGCCGAGGTGAGATTTTAGTTGTTTTAAGATTAATTTTTGGGGTCTGTTAGCAACATAAATATTTACCAAAGACTTCATAAATGTTATCTCAAACAATCCATTGCCAAATTGCAATTCAACTTTCTCTTGATGCTCACACTATTTCTGATCTTCGTTTTATTTTCTTATTTACCATAAAATCTGGTGTTTATTTTTGTCATTGTGCACTTGTGTAAAACCACCCTCACCATCATAATCCACTCTCACCATCCTAATCCACTCTCACCATCCTAATCCATCCCTCACCATCCTAATCCACCCTCACCATCCTAATCCACCATCACCATCCTAAACCACCTCTCCATCCTAATCCACTCTCACCATCCTAATCCACCCTCACCATCCTAATCCACCCTCACCATCCTAATCCACCCCTCACCATCCTAATCCACCCTCACCATCCTAATCCACCCTCACCATCCTAATCCACTCTCACCATCGTAATTCACTCTCACCATCCTAATCCCATAATAATATTTATATTATGTTTTCCATGACTTTGTAACATATTTTTCACAAATTTATGTCAAGTCTGTTTTGTTACTTGTAGGTGTCAGAAATTTGAGGCGGAAAAATATTGCCACTTGGGCGCATGACTGGGACCAGCTTAATTTCTAATTGGAGGATTTTTTTGTCAAAACTGCTCCATGGACATAAAAATTATATATAACTAATTATTTAGTAACAGTCTATTTGATTTTCAAGTGCTGACTTGTAGCACATTTAACGAAGTTCTTACATTTTGATCAGTGCCATGTCAATGAGAAGAACAAGACAGACAACCTGACTGGTTACATGAGGACTCTGCCATCAGGGGGAGATAAGGACTTCAAAATTTACTCCATGGATTGTGAAATGGTAACATGATATAATATCTATATCTATCAAACATCAGCATAAATGGCTGACACCTTCCAAAACTAATCAAATCTCATAATGCCCTCAGTATTACTTCTGTAACTTATGAAAATAATTCTCGTTAAATTTAGGTCAAATGAATTTAGTTATTGTTTCCCTTTTGTTACAAAATATTTCAAATTTTTACTTCAAGTTTCTCAACTCTCAAATAAAAATGCCGTTTTAGGAACCTTTAGATATTAAACACACGTTGTCATTATGTTCAAGTTTTTGCTAGACTTTGATGGCCTTGTGTTCCAAGAATATGAAATGTCAGTGTCGCCATCTTGCACATTTGTTAGCACCTAATTCATTTTTGGCATCCAGGTTTATACAAAAGCTGGCCTGGAACTGGCCAGGGTCACGGTTGTTGATGAAGATTGTAAAACGGTGTACGAAACCTTCGTTAAACCTGAAACAGAAATTATCGACTACAACACCAGGTAGGTCTGCCATCTTTTTCTTTTTATGTTGTTCATGCATCTGAGAGGACTGTACTTTGAACAGACTTGAACGAAACTTTTTTTTTTAAAAACTCTTTTCGTTTATTCGACCTTGTTTCACATACTAGTAGCTGTAAAAGAAACTAACGTTTTGTTCTTTCCGTCCTCAGATTCAGTGGCATCACAGCGGCCGATATGGTGGGGGTCAGCACCAATCTACTGGGGGTCCAGGCGGTCATGTTGAGCATGGTTTCAGACAAGACAATTTTAATTGGACACAGTTTGGAGAGTGACCTTGTTGCACTGAAGGTGAGTCCATCCATGGTGTGACTCCAAATCTGAGTCAGTGAGTCTTTTCCATGGTTTGACTCCAAATCTGAGTCAGTGAGTCTTTTCCATGGTGTGACTCCAAATCTGAGTCAGTGAGTCTTTTCCATGGTGTGACTCCAAATCTGAGTCAGTGAGTCTTTTCCATGATGTGACTCCAAATCTGAGTCAGTGAGTCTTTTCCATGGTGTGACTCCAAATCTGAGTCAGTGAGTCTTTTCCATGGTTGGACTCCAAATCTGAGTCAGTGAGTCCATCCATGGTGTGACTCCAAATCTGAGTCAGTGAGTCTTTTCCATGGTGTGGCTCCAAATCTGAGTCAGTGAGTCTTTTCCATGGTGTGACTCCAAATCTGAGTCAGTGAGTCATCAGTTGGCCATATCAATTCATTGTGCATTCTTGATCTGATGGCACCTTAACTTCTGGTAATATTTACTAATATTCTAGGACCATGGGCCCTTTATTATAGGAAAGAATGGGTGCTTGTGTTTGGTCACACATTGCTTTCAAGCCTTGAAGAGCTTATATTTCCCGGTCATTTGTAAAGTAATTTAGTTCATACTATTTTTACCTTTCCCAGTCTTTTTTTACAGTCATCTGCAGCAACTTATTATTAAAAATAGGTACTATGGTATTAACGTCTCTCTCAATTTTTTTTTTAAATTGTCAATTTTTGTTGTTGTTGATGACCATCAAAATAATTGTTGCATATAAGGTATGTTGATCAGTTTGATATTTTTGTGTTTTTTCTCCTTCCATCAGCTAATACATAGCACAGTTGTGGACACATCGCTGGTATTTCCACATCGATTGGGTCCACCGTACAAAAGAGCTCTCAGGAATCTCATGGTTGAATTGTTACAGAAAATTATTCAAGCAGACGGTAAGTTGAGGTCAATGAGCTGAGACCAAGCTGAGATAAATTCAATCAATATTTTTAGAGCAAACGAACAAAATAATGTAACAACTAAAATTGAACTGTGAGGCAACATGTGCCCAGTAACTGTGAGGCAACATGTGCCTAATAACTGTGATGCATTATGTGCCCAATAACTGTGAGGCAACATGTGCCCAATATTTCCAAGAGGCATTGCCCGCATTAAGACGATATAGCACTACTGGGTAGAAACCGTAATGACATAATTAAAGCATTCAGGGAACTTGAAAATGCCTCATTCAAAGCTGGTCTTGATATAAATGAACTGAAGACAAAATATACGATAATGTCAAGAAACTCCCATGCTGATGATAACATCAATATAAACAACCATAAATTTGAGAGAGTGGCTACATTCAAATATCTAGGGACAACTATAAACAAGCACAATGAGATAATATCGGAGGTGAAAGAAAGGATAACAGCAGGCAACCGTTCCTATTTCAGTCTACAAAAGCTACTGGGAAACAAAAACCTCTCAAGGGGAACAAAGAAGACAATATACACCACCACTATTAGACCAGTAGTAACTTACGCTAGTGAGACCTGGAGCCTTACCAGAAAAGCAGAGAACCTGCTCAACACATGCCTCCTCCGAAAAATATATGGCCCACTATAGAAAATGATGTCTGTAGAATATGTACAAACCAAGAACTTTATCATTTGTAAAAAGACCCACCCATAGTCGCAATGATACAAAAGGCAGACTGCGCTGGGCAGGACATGTTGAAAGGATGCCGGAATGTAGATCATCAAAAGTGATCTACAGGCAGAAACCTAGGGGCAGACGACTCACCGGTCGCCCAAGGCTGAGATGGATCAACGATGTGGAGATGGATATACACCAGTTGGGGGTTCGTGCATGGAGGTGGAAAACCATGGATCGCTCCGAATGGAAGGATGTGGTGGAGCAGTAGCGCCACTGATGATGATGATTTCCTGCATTAGCTCGCAATATTGACCGCAGAATATATTTAAATATCAACCTAAACTTAAGTAAGTAAGTGTAACAACCTGCACTTTCCAACCTGCAACACATAGCACCCATGATCAAAATTAGTAGCAAACTCAATCACTAACTTATTGTTGTATTAGATTGTTAAAACACTAACTTATTGTTGTATTAGATTGTTAAAACTCAATCACTAACTTATTGTTGTATTAGATTGTTAAAACTTAATCACTAACTTATTGTTGAGATTGTTAAAACTCAATCACTAACTTATTGTTGTATTAGATTGTTAAAACTTAATCACTAACTTATTGTTGAGATTGTTAAAACTCAATCATTAACTTATTGTTAAGATTTTTCAAGCAAATGTGAATATTTCATAACTGATTTGTTGTTTTTTCCCCTACCTTTAATTTTGTCATTTGAACATAATTCTCCCCCAGATGGCGGCCACGACAGTAAAGAAGATGCTGCAGCCTGCATGCAGCTGATACTTTACAAGGTCAAGGAGGATGCCAAGAAAGAGGTCAGGAGGGTGTGACCTTTTGGAAAGATGCCATAACCGGAGGTCAGCAGTTCATGACCTTTGTTTAAGTAATTGTTCCTTCTCAGTGTTCATGAATTTTTTAATGATATATATTAGGCAAGCTACATTTATTTTGCAGATGGCCGTAACTTGCTTTGAGTTCAGCATCTAAGTTTTGAATATATTATGTACCGGTACATTTAAATTAAAAGCTTTTAGCTTGAAAATGAAACCAAGGAGTATAAGAGGTTGTATAGCGACTTTGATTTTATAACATGTGACATTATTGTGTCTCATAGTAAAAATGTAATAATTTGATTTGACCAAGTGATTGCCCTTATGGTCTTATGTAACAGATCACAAGAAGAAATGTTGAACAACTTTATTGATAGTTATTATGCTTGTATGATTGTTACAATATTATTATGCTTGTTGACTATTACATTTGTATGATTGTGTTGTTTTTTTTACCATTTTATATTGTGTTCTTTTGTAGACTTTATTACCATTTCCCTGGTGTACAAAAATAAAAAAATCGTTTTTGCAAATTTCCTGTGTTCTTTACAATTGTATTCTTAAGTTATTGCCCCTGATATGTTACAGATTTTCTGTTATGAAGATAAAAATAGTTGCAGTTGTATCTGAGAGTCTGTCTCTTGCAAAATTTTGATAACACTGACTTGTGCTTATTGAAAGAGAAAGGTGGATTGAAGGTGGACTAAACAATTAAAATATTCACGAAATCTGGAATCTGTGATTTTTTGGGTTGCATTTTATTGATACATACAGTTGAACCCGCTTATACCTGGTTAACTCAAGAAACCCTGTTATGTCGACATTTTTGATGTGGAACCGCCAAATTCACTCTTTGTCTTAGCATTTTCTCCTCGGTTATGTTGATTCTTTTATGTCGCCAAACTCTGATATCTCGAGCCAAATTTGCCACTTAACCTCGGTTATCTCATCCCCATGACCAATTGCCGGCTTTTGATCTCCGCAAGAAGAAGTAGCAAACAAGAAATAAACAAGTTTTTCAGAATTAAAAATAATTATTTATGTCTCAAAATACAGGACTTGTGTTTTAAATGAAACTAGAAGTAATTTAAATAAATATGTTTTAATTTGAGGTTTTAAAAACCCGGTAGAGTCCATATTATAAATGATCATAATTTGCCGAGTGCAAAACGTTGTCATGGGCAGCCATTCACGGCCACTTGCATATTGGCTTTGCCGTGGTACTACGTCAGTTTCATTCATAAGAGTTTGCCGTGTGCAAAAGCTATTAAACCATTGGTCAGGGAAAGCTTTAATTAAATAGTTGTGCCAAAGTTGAAAGTTCAAAATAAGTAGTCCCTAAATAGTATTTTAGTAATAAGGGGATGCATTGCCTTATATAAACTATATAGTCCTTGCGCAAGACACGATCAGCAGATTGAGGTCACAAAGACAAAATGTGGCGGCTTCGTCCATAGTAGAAACGAAGTGATTATTCACAGAGCTGTGCGGATAACGCTCGCCGTTATTCACAGATTTCGGTCTGCCGATAACGCTAAACGTTATTCACAGAATGTGATATATTAATTAATGAATATAAAGTACAAAGTTCTTTATACACATCTCCTCGGTAGAGTAGTGGTCAGTGTCTCCGACCGTCACCCAGCAGACATAGTTCGATTCCCCGTTGGGGAAGCCTCATTTTTATAAATAAAATTTAAAAACAAAATATTTAATGGTTATTTCGTAGTGTTATATTATAATAATATTCTTCCTATAGCTTTCTTTTTCTGTTCACATAGTTTTATTGTTATTTTCATATAGTTTTGTTACTTATGTTACAAGTTTCAATCTATTTTGTTAGAATGTTCATTCAAGTTTCGTTAAAAAAATGTAAACAACATGGACATGC